TTTACGTTCGAACTTTGGAGGAGAACTTAAAATATACAGGGTGATTCAGAAAAATGTGACAATATTTCTGGAGTGAAAAGTAGGTCCGAATATAGCACGAAAAGTTCTTATAAGCATAAAAAGTAGTCCTCCCTCGCCATGGCGTTAATTGGACAATATTCATCTTTTGTCCTTATTAAGTCTCATCAGCGTCGTAGAAATTTACAACACCCTGTAACTTGGGAATGGGGCATTCTAGAACCTATGTCAATTGATTATTTTTGGATGTACTTTCTACCCTATAAATATTGCCACGTTTTACTGAAACAACTTGTATATATTTTCGGGAAATAAATATTTGATACTCTGAGAAATCATGAAATGTGGAAGATCTTGGAAAATCTGTAGTTTTCGAAGCAGTTCCTAGATTCTGTGCTATCAGATTACTGCAAGGTGAACCCTGATATTTTTCCATGACACAATCACAAACGAACTTATGAAAGAATAGTTTGAGATGCTAGTCACGTACGAATATTATAAATGATATAAACAAGCAGTAAAATGAATCATTATTATATATGTATTGAATCAACAGCATCATTTGCGTAAGAACTCCATACATTATGTAACAATTACATTACAATTCATACTCAGTGTTAGTATGTCTGTTAGTTTCTTCTGGAACGATTGCTTACGGTATTGATGGAATTACATTGTATATACATGGTGGCCCATCCATGTGTGGACGGAATATTACTCAAACAAATACATTTTGCGAAAATATATTTATGGCATCTCATACACGACATTTGAGGGCACATTTCTAAAATATTGGCAATTATACAGGGTGTCCCAATTTTGACCTACATATCAAAGTTGTGATTTTTTAAATGGAATACCTCAAATTTTATTGCATTTTTGGATAAACCAATTCAAAAGAAAAAGATTGATATAACATACTATGGGGCTTTGGTAATTCCTACTGAGATGTAAGGTGTTTTGTCCAGAAAAACCGTCCACTTCGGAAACCCCTAAATCTGCTATTTTGAAATTCAGAGTGCTGAATTTTGTATCAAAAAAAACTTAACACACCTCAGCTTTTATATATTTGTTGCTTTTCGAATTTTAGTTTTTGCTCATACAGGGTGGTCAAAAACGCGAATTGTACTTTTTCTCAAAAATTTGAGATGCATCACACTGAATATTTGTGCAGATTTGGATTCAATTTTTTATAAGCTTTTTTGGTATAAGGTTTGATTCAGATAAAATCACTAGATTTTGGGTTATTAAGTTTTTAATAGAACACACCAAAATTAAGGAAAAAAATCACATCATCCATGGAAACAAAAGACAAACAGTGCGCTAGTTGCATATTGACACTAAAAGTACAGATTTGACGTAAAAACATAATAATCAGAACAGTATAAATCAGCTTCAAGCGTAATAGAGAAAAACAACTATAACAACAACATAAACAAACAACTATCAGCACTCAAGACCTAATCTACAAAAACTGCTTGAAAATATCTCCACCATGTTGAATACACAGCCGTAGTCTTTGGATAAATGACCGTTGCACATCCCTCAGCATGTGTTCCCTTATGTTCAGAAAGGTATCCTTAATCCTTTCCTTCATATTTTCCGGGGTAGATAGTGGATATCTATAAACCTATTGCTTAACGTAGCACCATATGTCATAGCTGGTGATCTAGGAGGCCAAGATATAGGCTCATCACGACCGATCCAACGATTGTTACTCCAGGTGTCCAAATAGTTACGCACACGATTATGATAATGCGCAAGGTGCGCCGTCATGTTGGAAGTACATATGCATATACAAAAGCAAAGGAAAATGCTCGATCAAAAAATTCAAGTATTTTGTACCTGTTAATCTGTTGTCGAAAAAGAAAGGACCGATAACTTGTCTGCTAATAACTCCTCCCCAAACATTCAAGCTCCATTTATTTTGGAAATCTATTTGCCTAACCCAGTAAGGGTTTTCCTTCGCATAATAGTGCATGTTATGCCTGTTGACAACACCTATGCTGTTAAAAGTTGCCTCATCGCTAAAAAGAACCTTATCCAGGAAAGTAGTGTCTTCACTCACTTTATTTAGCATTATTCTACTAAATCCAATTCGAGCTGCGAAATCCTGAGGACGAAGGTCTTGATACAAGCATAGGTGATATGGATGGTACCTTTGCTTGTGAATAATCCTTTGGACAGAAGTTCTGCATATATCAGTTTCTGCTCCAATTTGCCGCGCACTTAAATAGGGATTTTCCTGCAACTTTAATAGAACCTCCAACTGATTCGCCTCATTGGTGACCCTTGGATTATTTAGACATTTTTTACTATATTCCACGGCTCCACTTGATTCAAAACGTTCTCGTAGTGTGGAAAGTGTTTTCGGCCTTGCATGTCGCATATTAGGCTACCGTTGCTTATAAATGCGAGATGCTAGGAAACTATTTCTTTGGGCTTCGCCCAAAACGATCACCATCTTCTTTAGAAAAATTCGTTTTCAAACGCGTTTTTATTATAATGCTAACAAAGCTAATTTTGACAGTTTGTAACTAATCTACAATTTATTTGTTTCCAAGGATGATGCAACATTTTAGGGAATTAAGCCGTTCCATAAAAGACGTGCTAATAACCGAAAAAATAGCTGTACAAACCCTTATGTGTCTAGTATCAAAAAAATGCTTATAAAAAATTGAATCCAAACTTGCACAAATATACAGGGTGATGCATTTGTAATTTTTGAGAAAAACTACAATTTGCGTTTTTGACCACCCAGTACGAGCAAAAATTAAAATTCGAAAAAGTAACAAATAAGATAAAAGCTGAGGTGTGTAAGTTTTTTTTTTGATACAAAATTCAGCTCTTCAAATTTCAAAATGACGGTTTGAGGGGTTGCCGAGGTGGGGGTTTTTCTAGACAAAACACTTTATATCTCAGTAGCTAATTACCAAAACCTCATAGCATGTTATATCAATTTTCTTCTTTTGAATTGGTTCATCCAAATATGTCATAAAATTTGAGGCATTCCAATCACAAATCACAACTTTGATGTGTAGATCGAAATTGGGACACCCTGTATAAAGGCCAATATCTTAGAAATGTGCCCTTAAATGTCATGTATAACATCCCATAAATAGATTTTCCCAAAATGTATTTGTTTATGAGTAATATTACGTCCACACATTAACGGGCCACCCTGTACAAGAATGATGTGAATAGTTTTGGCCCAATGTTGCTACCTTATAACAGGCGCGGTGCCCCCGTGTTTAGGTTTCTGCCTACGCGGCTGCTTCAGTATATAAAAAACACAGGAAGAAATTTGTAATTTGAATATTGCTCCAGCGGAGGCGAAACGACGAAAAATTAAAAATCAAATTTCGTTTTATGACGTCTTCCAGTCTTTGATACTTTTAGAGCACAGGGAACATTTCCCTCATGTACAAGTATAAATTTACTCAGCAAGACAGCTTAGAGCCTTTGCAGGAAAATTTAGACATCATTCTCAACTGTTGCCAGAATAATGATCTAATGCTTAAGCCCAGCAAGTGTAAAGTGATGTCCATTACCAGGAAACAATCTATCGTACTATATGATTATGTACTGAACAATCATAAACTTGACAGAGTACAGGAAGCAAAAGGCCTAGCCATTACTATTACTTCAGATCTGTCATTTTCAACACACTTAAATCAAATAGTTAAATCCGCTTCACGTATGCTTGGGTGCAATATTAAAAACTGTATATCTTTTACTATCAGGGACTCATTAAAAGTACTGTATTCCACTATAGTTAGAAGTTTACTTGAATATGATTGTATCATCTCGTCTCCTTTAAATGTTATATGCATATCTAAAGTTGAGAAAATACAAACGAAATTTTCAAAATATCTGTATTCCGCGCATATCCTCCATTCAACTATCCAAAGAAGGATCTTTTACATCACTCTGGCATGATCATTCTTGAACACCGAATAATTTTGTTTAGCTGCTGATTTGTGCACAAGCTGCTGGGCAATAAGATTGGCTGTGGTGAGATTTTGTCCAACTTAAACTTTACTGTGCCTAGGTTGGATAGTAGGAACTAAACTGTGTTTCATCTACCACTCCCTTCATATAGTATATCGAAATACTTTAGCGAGGTTAGCTATCTCTTTGACTTTGGTATGAGTGCACAAATATATAAAAAAATACTGTCATATTTACAAAGTGTTCAGTGGCGTTAACCTTTGTTAGCTTTTCAGTACCTTTTAGTATGAATCTTTATGTATTTTAGCACTGCAATGAACGTTCAGGAATATATTAATTTGCGTGTGTAACTACTGCACTGATGGGGTTTTGTGTTGGATTTCTGATATTCACGTATAGGGTTTTTTTTAGTAGGTATCATCCAATGATACCATTTTTTGTATGTGTCTATTTGTTATTCATCACTTCTATAGTGTTTGTAAATCTGTTGAAAAATATATGAATAACATAAAATGAAAAAACTTGTTTCTTAGAGTCTACAATTTCTTGTTCTCGGTGTTCGAAATATTTTTTAAATTGTTCAAACATTTTACATCGGCAATCTCATATTTAACTTACCACTAATAATTCTTTGAATATTAGTGTGAGTGTAATGTTGAACAGATTTCTATTAATGCTTGGGAAGTATTGAGTTAAAGTACTTTCACCGACTTATTCGACATACCACGTCAAAGACAAACGAAGTATGACTGAGCGCGTTCAGCCAACGTATTCTTCGAGGATATCAGATGGAATATATTTGGCATCGCTATCATCGCTCTAGAGCAGCAAAGCTGTCAATTCAATCGATCATCGACAAATGTCAACTTTGCTTGGCCGACGAGTTGCAACTTAACTTTTTCGGCCTGGAATAAATATTGTGCCCGAGTACAAGACATGGGCATTAAAAAACGTGATAGATCGTTATGGGTGTCTCAGTTCTTGCCTTTAATTATCTGCGAAAACTAAACAGGCTACACAAAGCAACTTACGCGGCATGTATTGCCTCGGATATGGGGCACCAGCTGTGGAGTGCTGGTAACTTGGGTATGGATAGTAAACTGACAAAATTTAAACATTCACGTGTTATTTTCATGGCAAATTATTATTACAAAGCAGGTCACAAATCTGAGAGCAAGCATACTTTACAATTACTTATGTGTTGAATAATGTGAATATTTTAGAAATTGGCCCTTTTGCCCTTAGTGATTGCTGTGATGTGAGTGTTTCACGAACCCTAAAAAGGTCGCGCTTTTAGCGTCGTGTTAACGCCTGTCTATCATGTGAATCACATTCGAGTAGTACAAATTAGATTAATCACAATCTGAAAACGTGACAACTTTAGTTAATCTTTAAAGGCTGAAATTCACAGTCAATCCACTCCGAAATATTTCTGAGGAAGGACCTACACCCGCAAATGAAGCAGCGCGGCACATTTAGAACTACTTGAACAGTCAGGCATTCCACATTGCATAAAAAATCAAGTCTACAACAGTGAATATTTTTTGGTTATCAAATTTGACATGATGTTGAGCGGGTAGCTTAAGGTAAGAATGCTGAGGCTTGGCATCAACTGTGTATTTGTTATCCAACCATCATGTCCACATTAACCATTCTAACCGCTAACATGTCGGCAACGCCCCGCATCCGCCGTCAGATTGACAAAAAATACTAACTTCGCGACATTAAGGCCCAAATAACACGATACTTAGATATCATGTATGGTAAAATCTAGGAGCGACACCTTGTCTTCTCCCAGATAGGTTCCCTGTATCGATTAAAATTGATTCTTGCTGTATCTTTCCGTTAATTGTGTCTGTCCTATGGTATTCAATTTTAGTGTCTACAGCAATGTGGAAATATGTAATTGTTTGAAAATTGCATGTTTACAAATCGAATGAAGCTCTCAGACTTTGACAAAGTGTTAGGAATGATAAAAATTATTTTACATACCAGGCTGGGGATGTGGATGTGCTGGAGTACTTGTTGGGTATGGTGGATTGTTGACATTGAACCCTGGGGTAGGTGTTGTTTGTTGATGAACCGGATAAGGTGGATTCACCACTGGAGTTGCATCATTAGCTACAGTTGTTGTTCCATCTATAACAAGTAACAAGGGCGCACCCTGCTTAAAACAGAAGTGGGGGGGGAGAGGCAGCTTCAAAAAAATGTTGGTGGAAGTTCCACAAATAATATCTACTTTACTAGGCTTGATATTTTTCTTTCTGTTTGGATTGCAATGTCTTATCCATTGATACAGAGTCTTGCAATTAGGATTATAATAATAATTCAGTACGTTGCAATACTTTGAAGTAATAGTTTGAAGCAACACTTGAGATACAGTAATGGACAAAAGTATATAGACAAATTAATATTGTGCTGTATTTCTTTTTTAACTTGTTTTATTAATACACCAACCAGTATACATAATTCGTTATAGCATAATACTCACTTATACATAAATAAATTCATTAGACTCCCTTCAATAAAAAATTAATTGAAAAAGACTGGAACTAAGAAGGACAGAAATATATAGACAAAGCAAAACAATTATAGAAAAAAGAAGCAAAGTTCATTGAATTATAGAAAACCAACCATGTTTGTGTTAATATTTTATAGCATAACCATTATTATTAATCATCGCCTGGCATCGTCTCGGCATAGATTGTAGATGTTTCTTGATATAAGATTCATCAATCTGTCTCCACTTTTGCTCTAAAGCGGCAAAAAGTTCATCCTTGTTTGAATAATTTTTATCTCGTATTTGCTTATCTAAGTATTCCCATATATTTTCAATGGGGAATATATTGGGAGAATGTGAAGGTCATTTGAGAACTGGTATTTTTTCATCCAGAAAGAATTTCTTTGCCAGATTTGAAGTGTGCTTCGGGTCATTATCTTGCTGGAAGATTGATCTTAAGGGTATATTGTCTTCCACATAGGGTAACATGACATGCTTTAGTATGTCTGTGTATACAAACTTATCTATAATGCCCATCTATTCTATATAAAGGTCCCATCCCAAACCCCGAAAACCACCCCCAAACCATAACAGACCCTCCTCCATGTTTGACAGTGGGCAAAGTGTACTTGGGGTTCAATCTTTGTCCACTAGGACGTCTAACGTAATGAACACCATCTGATCCAAACATATTGAACTTGAATTCGTCACTGAAATATACCCTTTTCCAGTCACAGGTGCTCCAATCAAGATGCAACCGTGCAAATTGTAATCGGTCCTTAGGGTTTTTCCTCGAGATTAGCGGCTTCTTATTCGTGCGACGTGCAAATATCCTCATATCATTTAATCTTCTACTTATTGTTTTTGTAGAAACACTGACAATTCCTTTTGTCTCGATTTCGGCTTTTATTTGTCTTGGGGTTTTAAACGGATCTTTGGACGAAATTACTTTTATTAATCTAACTGATCTAGTATTTAGTTTTCTAGGCCGACCACTTCTCTTAGAGGCTTCCAAGGCACCTTTTTGTTTATATTTGTTCAATATTGCCCAAACTGCTTTACGCTTCAGCTTCAAATTTTTGGCAATGTCGACTTGACGTTGACCATCTTTGTATAACTCAATGATCGAAGTTTTCACATCGAAAGAAATTTCTGAACCACGCCGCATGATCTTAAAATCACTCAACTTATTCCACATTACTTGATGAACACAAACTAATCCTCTTCTGACACGAAACTGTGCTAGGCTAATGTTGAAAGGAATTTTGTCCCTCATAAAAAAAGTGCTTATATCCAGACCTGTATTGTGTTCATTGCAGATAATGTAAAAAAAAGAAATTTAGTTTTTCTACTAATAACGCATTTGTTTATGGAGCAATGAAGTATGAATTCGTTTTCTAAAGGTATTTAGGTAAATATTCATATTTGTCTATATACTTTTGTCCATTACTGTATATGACAAAGTTTTGCAAGATTTATATACCCAGATCTAAAATTCTAAACTATACGGTTTTTTCAAATTTTTGGGCGTACATCTCTCTCAAAATTCATACAAGCTCCTCATTTTTTCAGTCAGTCAAGTCAATAGGCTAGAAAAATAGTGTAATAGCGAAAAAACTTCAAATGAATGACAGACAAAAAAATACTTAGTTTTTGCTAATAAATTTGGACGCGAAACGTAAAAAAATTAATTAATCATTGGTCCCTCTATAACCTAAAGAATCACTGGATTTTTAAAAAAATTTGACTCCCTTAAACTTGACTTCTTATTTTCATAAATTCCTTTAGAGGAGACAGAATTCAAAAAAGTCATACTTGGCTATTTTATATATTTCAAGATATAGTCAAGAGTTTATTTAGAGGCTTGTGAAAATTTGTGAAATCTAGCCAAACTCATTTTTCAAATTCTAATCATCCAGTCACTGTTGTGTAACTCAAGACACAACAAGAAGTGTGCAATTCGAAAATGTGTGGAGTGAGTTGAAAAAAGGGAAATTGCTGTTGCAATATGTTATCTAGAAACGTGTACATATCTGATCAGGTTAACTAGCCAAACGTGTATACTGCTGTAGAAGAAATTACATAGAAGGATTTTAGAAAGAAAATATATATTCTTTAGAGTGAATGCAAAGACCTCATCATCTCGAAAATTCCAGGTAATTTTTTTATCACACTTCAAAGTTATAAGTGTATAGATAGAAGAATTGTAGGGGATGAATAGACCTTCAAAATGAGAAATAATAGATATGTCTAGTTAGCTGCAATAGTTAATTCGTTATTTCAAAAAATCTTTTATTTTTTGTTAGAGTGCATAAAAATAAATACACATATTGCTACTACTCTAAATACAGAGGGGAGATTACACATTTTGTTGCAAAATCACACAATCCAGATCTTTTCTTGATGCAAATTATATGAGATTAAGTGGTTCAAATCTATAGTTCACTTTATAGTTTTTGACAAGTAAGACTAGCAACACCATCTATCTCCCTTTCAAGTATGTATATGCAATCTGACTCTGGGAGTGAATGCTTGTGTAAGCTCAGAACTGTGTTTTTTAGTTTTGTCCTGCTACTATGAACATTTTCTCACCATTGTATGAGTACACCTAAGCTACGTCTGTGTGATAACTCACTTGATATTGTTATATTACTTTGAGTTTCTCTTTTATTGATATTTATAATATAAGCAGTACCTGAAAATAAACCTAACAGAAAATAGCAATAAGTAGTTTTTGACAAAATGATTGGAGTATGTTGAGAAAGTAAATGAAAGCAATGATCTTTTATGAACCAAGAGTAGCTGGGTTCCATTTTCCTATGGAGCTTGAGCTCTGCACATGATTTGATTGGTCAATTTGCTTACTTATTTTATATGGCATTGATGATTTTACCTCCAAAAATTGCCAATGAACTATATTTGTCCATATTCCTGAATATATTAGCAAAAAATAATATTACAACCTCAAGAGCTCGGACTTCTTAATGTTAATTCCTGGTTAAGTTGAAAAGAATACTGGGAGAATTCAGCATTTCTACTCTACTAAACATCAATCCATGATGATTTCATAGCTGATTGGTCAAAGAAATTGTCAAATTGAGACAGAGTGCATTCAATTAACAGAAAGAGATCCAGCAGTACACGTTTATGGTGTCATAGTTGAACCACAGCTTAAATAACAATCAGCTATGAAACTCTCCCATCAGTGTCAAAAACGGCTGCCACTTCGATGGTACAAGTACAAATATGAAAGAGTTTTTAGTGCTCAGCAGCAGCTGGTACACGATATCATATCAAAATAGTATCATTTCAAGATTGCAATGAACATGAAATGAGGCAACACCAGTTGCTGCTGAGCACTAAAGCCTCTTTCATCGTTGTACTGGGGGAATTTACATTCAACTTTCTCCGCCGAAATGGCGGCCGTTTTTGACACTGACAGGGAGAGTTTCATGACTGATTATTATATAAGCTGTAGCTGAACAGCAATACCCATGGAATAGCTTCAAGGCCTAGTTTTTTAATTGCAAGTTAACTGCAACTTGACTGCTAACCAGATGTTAACTCTGAAAAAGCATTCTTGAATATCAAGTTTCTCGTAAAGTGGTAGCTAACTTCAACCATAATACCATGTAAGTATTATATAACTATAAAGTTGTGGTCAAGCCATAACATCAAACCTAATGTGCTTGACAATGACTTGAGAAATACCAAACATTACAAAATGTAAAGAACTTGATAATTCAGGTCCAAAAGCAGCATTACTGCTCCAACTGTTCATAGATTGCTAACCAGAACTTGAGAAACGAATTCACAGGCAACTGATAGTCAACTTCAAGTCATAGGTACCTAACTTAAAAGTTACTCAGCGATTGAAGAACCACACCTAATAGTTGCAACAGCTGCTGTCAAACTGAAAAAGCTATCACATGGCATAAAAGTGCTGCTTATGAAATTATCCCCAAAGCAATTGAACATCAACTGCTAATAATAATTGAATCATTTACTCTTACTCCAAAAGTAGGTTATCAGTCTGCATAGTGTTGGACTATCGGCATTGAAAGCCAATCCATGATTGATACTAAAATATGTGCATAAAAAAATAAAAAATATGATCTTGCAAAATATACAGAACTTGGAAAACTATGTCATCTGGTTAATTGATATTTCATAATTGTTTGTAAAACAAGCTTCAAACTAAATGAATGTCATTGAGAATCATGAGGTATACAGCATAGGGTATTCAAACTCGGATTAATGAAAAATTAGGGGTACTTACATCCATACACGACACCTTCACGTTTTCTTTTGCAGCACCAGCCGCAAATTGTGAACAGAATTATAAAAATAACGCATATTGCTATTGGCATAAATATGTCCATTGTGATACTGTATACAGTTTACTGTTCTTATCATATAATTTTTATAAACCCCTAGGATAAGCACTTCCTATAAAGCTGAATCATGAATTTCTCAGATATCTTGCTGATGTAAAGAGTGAAGTGCTTCAAGCATATCGATGTATGTGAACTATTTCACTTATTCTTATCTATACTTAAATCTGCCGTTTATATTTAACCAGAATTCGGAAATTTGGAAAATACTACTTCACTAATTCCAAATTTTCAACATCAAAAATATGAGAAATTCCACAAAAATACCACAATTCACAAAACATAAAGAAAACTGGAATCTGGAATCACAAAACATATATATTGACAGGAATGACAGACTACATTATACTAAACAGCAAAAATACAAATAAAGTGACAGAACGACACATACCAAGGTACAGATCACAAAACACATCAGTACATACATCTAAGTAGGCGACATCTAGTGAACAGGCACAGTACCCATTAGCTTCATAAGAATATCAGTAACTGTCGAAGAGCTAATATAGAATTTGTAGATGTCTCTCTGTGTGCTAAGAACTCCTGGGACCAAGGGCGTGTTGCCAGATCTGTTGAAATTTTACCAGATACGGTGATTTTATTTATAATCTGGCGATTGCTGAAAAATCTGGCTCTGACGATTTTTAAAATTACATTGATTTTGAATATTTTTTGCAATCTTTCAGCTACCAAAAACTCCAACGATTACTGAATTTCCGAGCCGGTGCTGCGTTTCGCGATTCTACAGATTTCTGGAAAACAGTGTATCTACTAGAAAGAGGATGGATACGATTCGGAGATCTTTACCGAATTGGGTGATTTTGTTAAATTATTCATTTAACCACACATCAGTGCATGCGTGGAAATATTTTTAGTAGTATAAATCTAAATAAGACTAAACTTAGTAATAAACTGGGTAAAACAACATTAAGTGATACTTCATACTAAAAAACTCATTTAGCCAAACAGCTACTACAACTTTGATGTCTCAAATAAAATATTACCACTACACAACAATGAGATGTGTGTAAAAATAAATTATTCTAGTAAGTACTGAAAACTGTAAGTATACACGTTTTTGTAATCAGAAATCGTTATGTAGACGACACGCTTATTATTTATGGAAAAATGTAATATATAATTAGATCGTTTGTATTTAGGAGTTTTACAAAACTATTTTACTTGTGTTATTTTTAGTTTCTCGTTATAGATTAGATGCTTATTGATCTACTTACACTACAGAAGTATTATGTATTATGATCACATTGGAAAATAAAAATGTGTTTTGGTAAAGACATAGGATTTTTTTATAATAATTCGGATCTGGGTATATTAAAAAGTATTTTAGAATCATACAAAAATGAAACGAAAGGTAGATGCTAATAAAATAATATTTTACTGCCTTCGCCACAGTAGCAGGAAATTTATAGTGAATTGTCTTTTCATTAAACAATGTAATTATCAAGTTGTATACAAACATTACAAATTAATTATTTTGTTTGGAACAGGTAATCCAGCTTAAAAAATTAACCTTAAAAATCCCTGGTGATTTTTCATTAAAATTTTTGGTGAATTTTATTTTTTTACCTGGCAACATTGGACAAAAGTCAGTGGCGGTTCTAGTTTTCAGTGATGCTGATGAAACTTCTAATTCTCCAGCGTGTTGAGAAAGTTATGATGTTCTTTTTCAGAAACAACCACATTTCAGATAGCAAAGCTAATGTGATGTAAATCAGCAGGGAACAAGAAAAAAAACGTTAATTTGATAGGCCATTGCAAGCACTGCCCTGTCACATACACTAAAAGCGAAATACCACTGACGTCGTAATGTGTACGAGAGAGAAGTGCGAGAAGCGTGCAATACGTGTGTTAGAAAGGTATAGAAGCATCTGGTTGCCTAGCAACCCGAGTACGAGGAAGCAATCGGTGCACTCTTTCTAACATACATAGCGCACGCTTATTATTGCGCTTCTCTCTCGTACCCACACATTACGACGTCAGTCAAATTTGAATCTCACCCTATAAGTTGCTTTCATACTGTTCGAAGATGTTGTAGTTTCGTTCAAAAATATCTACCAGCTTGTTTTCTTCGTAATCAATTTGGGATTGTGTAGGTCACCGACGATAAATAGATATATCGTCGATGGTCTAGATATTACTTTACGGTGCCCACCTGGACATCCCTACAAAACGGCAACGGCCTTCATACGAAATTATTAGATAAAAAAGCATATTTGCATGACGGTTTGATAAAAGTAATCCTAGTAGTTTTCGATAACTATATGAATTCTCAAATCATCGACTCTGGATAAATTTAAAAGGCAATGAAATGCAAATAGAAAGAAAAATATCAAGCATAGTAAAATAGATGATTTGCTGCCCCGATTTCGCTTTGAGCTCGGTACGCCATTGGGTTCTATAATTCTAGACCTATTCACTTCTCGTCCGGTTTGGACACACACACATTATCGATACTTTTCTATCGAAACATTTAATATACAGGGTGTTTCAGTTTATTGTTGCATAACTTTAAAATTCGATAGAACTTTTAAAATTAATGCATAAAGTCATATAAACATGGGTCGAAAAATGCGTGGCTTCCGAAATACATATTTACTTTTTAAAATAGTTTTTTTAAATATTTAGAACAATATTTGATGTATAACAGTGAAAATTGGTATACTAGGGTTCTTTGGTACGACAAAACGAACCATGGGCATAGTTTTACCGTAGCCGCTAGAGGGCGCTCTCTAATGTACCTGTACTGTATGAAAATGACCGACAGTTTTTTCTTAGTGCAATTTTTTGCTTTTTGAACAAAAAAAAACTGATTCTTCGCACTTTTTTGCATAAAAAAGCTCTCCTGTGAGTTTTCGTTATAGTTAGCCGTTTTTGAGATATTTCGATTTTTAAGGTTCGATGCATTTTTAATTATTTATGGGAAAATAATTTTTTTTACATTTTCGATTTGGGCATTACAAGTAATTAAGATGATCGTTTAGATTGTGTTTTTAAACACAGCAATAATTCCTAACTCCAAATAAACACAAAAAAAACAGAATATTAATTTGTTTAATTTTCCAATATTATTTTTAAGAAATTAAATTAATTATTTACAACTAAAATGCTATTGGATAGTTAGGACAATCATACAAAATCGAAAGTAGTTGCTCGAAATGGAAACCCAATTGTTCAATACACAATTCACATCTACGAATGATCGAACGTGGTATAGCATTAATCAAATAAGGCCTTATTTCATCACATGCAATCCTGATGCTGTCTATTAGCATATCTCTTGTGGTTACGGGAGTCTGGTACAATTTTTCTTTTAGAAATCCCCACACAAAGAAATCTAATGGCGGCCAGGCGACACGGCCGATCCATCTCTCTGGATAATTTTCGTCCAGCCAGTTTCTAACTATTCTCGAATAATGAGCTGGACAACCATCAAGCTGGAACCAGACCAATCTTCTTAAATCTAACATAACATCATCCCACATATTTGCATGTTCAGCCTTTAAAAATTCTAAGAAGGTCGCAGCATTTAACCTTGAAGGCAAAAGGTAGGGTCCAAATAGTCGATTACGGTAGATACGAATCCACACGTTCACACTAAATTCATGCTGAAAATTTCTTTCCCGAACTGCATGCGGATTTTCATGCGATCAAATATGTTGATTATGAAAATTTACCACTCTACGTCTAGTAAAGCATGACTCATCGGTCCATAAAACGTTACTTAAAAACTCCCTATTATTATCGTTCTCCGTCCCCTGGCTGTAGTCCTTGCACAGGTTGCAAATGGTAAGGACGTCTATGGTCATTTCTAAGAACACGGTAAACATTGCTTGCTAAAATTCCCAAGGCACCAGAAACTCTCCTAACACTTGTGGTCGGATCTCTATCAAACTCACGTAGAATCATACGGGTAAATCTGCGCTGACGAACATTTATGTTTTGATCCCTTTGGAGATTTCCAAAACCATTTTCAATTATATGGCGATGCACTCTTACAAATACTGAGCGAGTTGGATGTCATCTGTTTGGAAATCTTCGTGCGTATTCTCTGGCTGCTTCTGCTGCGTTTCCATTTACAAAGCCATACACAAAATGAATATCCGCTAACTCTTGATTGGAGAATAGAAATGGCATTTTTATAAAACTTAAAAAAAAAACCGGTAAAAGAAACTAAATTTCGTGCATTCACAATTGCAAAAAAACCTTTCAGGTTTCAACAGACAACAAAACTAACTGTCAACTAATTGACGTTTAACCTTATTCTGCTTTCAATTTCAAAAATATTTGCAGGCACAGCCTACTTCTAAAAATTATCGAGATACTGTCTTTTTAACGTTATTTTATCATGAATAATTAAAAATGCATCGAACCTTAAAAATCGAAATATCTCAAAAACGGCTAACTATAACGAAAATTCACAGGTGAGCTTTTTATGTTGAAAAGTGCGAAGAATCATTTGTTTTATTCAAAAAGCAAAAAATTGCACTAAGAAAAATTTTCGGTCAGTTTAGTACACTACAGGTACAGTAGAGAGCGCCCTCTAGCGGCTACAGTATAACTATACCCATGGTTCGTTTTGTCATACCAAAAAACCCATGTATACCAATTTTCACTGTTATACATCAAATATTGTTCGAAATATTTAAAAAAAACTATTTTAGAAAGTAAATTTAAACACCGTGTATTTCGGAAGCCACGCATTTTTCGATCCATGTTTATATAGACTTTATGTATTAATTTTAAAAGTTCTATCGAATCTTAAAGTTATGCAACAATAAAGTGAAACACCCTGTATAAGTAATAAATATATAATAACACGGTTTACTTTAGTGGTAATAAAAGCTCTCCAAACCAAACCAAACCATCCATAATTGCTGTCGCTGACAAGAACACCGTAACGGAAGGCTTAACGATTCGTTATTTGAGCATAGTACGGAGTTACAGGCGGTTAGGCTTGTGCAGCGAGTACGAAAGTACTGGAATCTTATTTCTAGATGCCTCGAAGGCATTTGATAAGGTGTGACACAAGGGCCTTCTCTATAATCTAATCCAAAAGGGCTTTCCATTTTGTCTCATGAAGCTTTTGAAATTCTTCCTTGAAGGTATGGAAATTTCGGATCAAAATTAATAATGTCTTGTCGACAGAACGGCTCATCAGAACCGGTGTCTCTCAGGGTTCGGTTCTCGGACCAAACCTGTATTCATTTTTCACTCATGACGTCCCTTGCCCCAGAGACTGTGAAATCTATCTATATGCTGATGACACTACTCTGGTGACTCGGTCGAGTTACGAGAATCTCGTTCACGACATGTTACAA